CGTCCCTATCCAAAGCCACCTTCTCACGACCTTTGCGGGCAACATCCTCGAGCTCCTTCTCCCTCTCCTCCTGGAGTTTCTTGACCTTCTCCTCTGGGTCCGTCACCGCATCTTGGGACCTCTTCAGCTCAAGTTCCAGTGGAGAGTCATCCTCAGTATATACCACGACCATTTCCAGGACCCTCGTTAAAGCAGAAGCATCCTGGGCAAGAATGGCCCGTTTGCTGGGACGGTCCATTTCCTCGAGCTTTAGAGATTCTACCCGAGGAATGGACAGAGAGAACCCCTCGAAGAATTTCCTATTGTGAAAGCAGGGGGTATCCCATACTTGCTTTTGGTAGATTCCTGGCTAAGGTCCGCGACCTCGTTTGGACGGGCACGCTTGGGCCTCGAGCTCACGGGCAGAGGCGACGTCTAAGTGAATGAAGGAGTTGAGGATGAAGTCCCCGATCCTGTTTTAAGGGGAACCGTTTGCTGACCAAGGCGGCTCTTCCCTAGAGCAGTGCCGCTCTTCAGTTTCCCTTGGGCATGTTTCATCATCCTTTCCTGCGTTGAAGGCATTTTACTTGCAAAAATAACAAACACATAAGCATAGGGAAAGAAAAAACCTCAGGCAGAATAAGAGAAAGCAAGAACTACTCAAAAGTTCAAGAGCCTCCTCACGAGTGTTGTACTCGAGGAGATCTTTGGTGTTGATATACCGGGCTTCCACCTATAGCCCACCATCTTCTTCGTATAGAACCTGCCCCGCGCGAGTCACGCACTAGGCAAGAAGAAAGCCATCAACAAAGGCCACCAACTTGGCATAGCTGGCCCGGTCATCCTCCACCAGTTGATGAGGGGCAACTATGTAGTCATCAGTTGAGCGGGTAAAGTGAGCCCCGCTCCAACAGAAAGGAAAAGTAAATAGTCTCCGGGCAACTATTTTGCCCTCCTCATCTATCAAGTCATCCCCTTTCTCGTTCATGGAGACCTCTCATACGGAAGTTGAATTTGTAGCCTTCTCTGACACCGGTTCGATCACGTAGAATCTCTCCTTAAACGTCTGGATATATTCAGAGAAGGGTTTGAACAGCTTCCTCCTTTGCTTCAAAGAAACCCAACCAAATTTCTCCCCGACACTTGTCGTTGAAGATGAAAGATTGTGAAGAAAAGAGGGAGGGTGGCCCCAATTTGCAGATACTCATACACCAGCTCGTATGCTTGCACGAAAGCAATAGAGTTTGGATGCAGTTGAGAAGGCGCTAAATCAAGGTGCACGAAGACGGCGTGTTGAAAGTCTATGAAGGGCAATCTCAACCCTATCTCTTTAAAAACATACTCGTACATAGGAGATCGCTCCCCGTACGTCGAGCAAATTTGTTCATCTTCTGAAGAAAAATGGACCATCCATTCTCCCTCTGGTCCCACCATGGTGAATGCGTCCCCGGTGTACGAAGAAAAAAGAGATGCGTGCTCCATTGGCTCAGCCACCGTCCACTCATCCACCGATGACATTGCATCAGACGTCCCCAAGACCTCAGAAGACAAGGAATCATCGTCTGTCTATGTATCCTCCGAGGAGCTATCCTCAGACAAATCTCTAAGATGTTCTTCTTCGTCAGCCTTACACGACATCTGTTTTACCTGAAAAGTAAAGGAAAATAGTGAATTTGATGACAAAATCAAATTCACCCTTCCACTACTAGTCAAGTGAAAGGGCGCGTAAAGGGCCAAGGACAAGATCCTCGACCTAAGCCCTACTCAAATGGCGCAGCTAAACAAATGAGGAAGGTGCCCGATAGTTCTCCCTAACGCGTCTGGGGATAGTCCCCGATCACAAAACCCAGAAATCCCACGGGGAAACCACCAAAATCCATGTCACTTTAGCAGTGGCACCACCGTGTCTTCCCTATCCCGGGATCAGCTAAACCTATGGGTTGATAACTTGCCTTTCCTAAAACGGAAATTACACCACCGACAGCAGACAGATGGTCGTGCCAGCGTCTGCCACCAACAACCACTGCTAGATACACCCTATAACTAAGTCATTTCAGTCCTAACCACATGCAATCTAAGGCATCAAATCAGAAAAACAAGGAATAAACAGAGAATCAATGTACTTACATGGTCGAGGAAGAAGTTCTGGAATGGAAGTGGCTCTGGTCGGACGTTGTACGGTGGTCGGAACAGACTTGAAGGCAACGAACAGCAGTTGAAGAAACGGGCAAGATGAAAGAGAAGCGAAAGTTCTGAATGAACGAACCCTCTCAATTTTTATATGCAAATGACAGGCACGTGCACGAGCACGCGCGGGTAAGGCATCATCATGACCCTAGCCTAGCCATCATCACACATTTAATGCAACACACGACTCGAGACATACGTGACATCCTCATTCTTCAGATCCCATCAATCGTTGGGCTCCCCGGATCACAAAATCCCCGACACCAACATTCATAATGCCCGGGCAAGTGTTCATCCGAACACAAGGGAGCTCACGACGACTATGCCCGAAAAGCAGACCACCCTTAAGTCATCACTACTGTGCCTGATAGCAACGACTTAGGGAGCTACTGTTCCGGACTGGCCCAATGGCTAGGCATGGCCCAACCCACTTCTGTTCCCAGAACGACCCAATTGCCTAAGTCTAACCTCTTTGGAGGAAAGTTTACCTTTCTGCCCCTCCAACAGGGGAGGTTGACCTATTTACCCCTGGTCACAACACTTCTCCCCATTAGTCTCTGCCTGTCACGCACGGTTCCACCATTCAGAAATAGCCAAGACGTTTGTGTTCGTAACTACGCTTCTGCCCGTGCCAACGGCTAGTTATGGGCATGTCTACTCGTCCCAACGACTATTTCTGACAGTTACCTATTCTTCGGGAAACGATTATCTCACACCGAAAATAGGAATCAGTGGCCAAGCGCTGGAGGATTATAAAAACCCTCTCATTCGAGAGGGTCAGGTATCCAATTTCTCACCTAGAAACACATATATTTTGTACTTGTTCGCTCTCTTACTCGTTTTCTTACTTTAGCATCAAAGTGCCTTGCAGGTACACCCCATCCTCCTCTTTCACATCCAACATCACAGACGTTTGTCCTTGACCCGTCTCAGGTTTTGATCGTTCGGTAAGATCAATAAATACTTAATACATAATAAAATGTATTTAATGATATTTATACAATAGATATGAACGCAACATTTTAAAAAAAATTAACAAACTTTAGTTTAATCCATTTTAAAACATAATCTAACTCAAAAATCAATTATACACCTTTAAAATTATTTTAATTATTTTAAAATAAAAATTAAATATATATTTATCAACATGACAACACAGGATAATTTCATCATATTTCAATTATTCTTTTGCATTAGTTTAATAAGATTGGTATAAATAGCAAGTGAATCATATTTGTTGTAGAAATAGCAAGTGAATCATATTGAGTGATATATAGGTTAGACATTGATATGAATATGTGTTTATTATCCCTATTGAAAAGTTAAAAGAAAGAAGTGTCACAATTGATGCAGTCAATGTATAATAGAGTATGTTGGCAAAATTAATTAGACATTAGTACTTATTATTTTCATTTTTATTAATAAATCATGTTGGCTTTTGTATTCATTATATAATTACAAAAAAATAACTACACACAATTAAAATAAATAATAAAGATTTTCATTATAACAAAAAAAAAATTTAGTTATTGGTTTAAATAATGGAGAAGGAAAATAGAGATAAGGAGACAGATAATGAAGGTGGAACACAACATAAAATAGTATAGAAAAAATTGATTTGACAAAAGGTTAAAAAATTAATTTGACAAAAGGTTAAAAAATTGATTTGTAGAAAGTAATAAAAGTACAACAGGTTACGATATATGTTTATTATAATATAAATAAATAAAATGTGTAGACTTAATGGAAGAAAGCAAGTCAAGCTGTTTGATTGTGTTACATCAGCTCAAGGGATCAATATGGTGTAATAACACATTTTAATCATATTTGAATATATATATAAATTAATTTTAAAATAAAAATATTAGTAATATAAATAATTTTAAAAAAACACATTTTCATTGGTCTCGAATTACTTTTACCATATTTACATTTATTTTTCTTAATTGTACAAAAAAAATTATAACAATCCGTGGATTCTATCTAAATACCCAAATACCATATTTACATTTATTTTTCTTAATTGTACAAAAAAAATTATAATAATCCGTGGATTCTATCTAAATATCCAAATACCCGTGTGTTTGCAGTTCCGAACATTTATTTTGACATTATTTATAAAAATATTTATTCTATTATATAGTTTTAAATATCAACTAATAAAATAGTATCTATAAATATTATTTTAATTGTATAAATAAATATTAGTAAGTTAAATATACACAATATATAATTAAAAGAATTACACATTTAAATTAATATAACCAAAAAAAAAAAGAACCATAAAAAAATTAATTTATTCTACTAGAACGAAAAAAAAGATTGCTCTCTAAATTTTAGAAATGCATACACATTTAAATTACACTCACCCAACATTTTAGTGAATGAGTAACCTCTATTTCGTATAAATTTAGTCCTGATATGCACTGTAGCCTTGTTCTTAATTTCTCTACTATCAATAACAGAGATTTGGCGATGACAAAGAACCCAGATAGATCAATCAATAAAACATCATCAAATCGTGCAATATCAGTGAAGTTCATGAAAAAATGACATTTCACACATTAGAATAACTAGTTAACCACATTTATGATGAAGAAAAAAAAGATACGCATGTACAACAATTGGCAAGTCGGGTCGAGCTCTACAAGAAACCATGTCAAATGTAAAAGCAAAGCATTTTACACAGAATATCGACCAAAATCCCATGCACTACTAGTATCCACTTTTTTCTAGTTATGCTATCCAAGTTTGTGTCGATAAGCAGTTACATTAGCTATTTATACAAGCAAGATTCTGGGAAGAAATGGAGGCAATAGTGAACAAGATATCAATCACTCCACCTGCATATTTTCAGGAAAAGGTATGGAAGCACAGCAATGATAGTATCCCTTTTCATCAAATGAAAATCTCTTCGAAAGATGAGCTTCACGGATAAGATACTGCCCCCAGTCCTCTGTTCCATACTTCTCGAATATGCCTCGTGCATCGAAAGAGTCAACACTATTTCTCTTCCACTTTGTCCTGAACACCAGCAGCTTATATCAGCTATTTAAACTGAAATAATCTAACGAATTTTCAAAGAGCAAGGAAGATTGTTAAGCAGCAAAAATTAAGTACTTGAAGTCTACAAGAAAAGATAAAAAGGGCAGCAGAACCTTTTTCTATGCCTTGAATTCATCACAGTGGCGTGCATCTGCAACACAAGAAAAAACCCGTTGATCACTAGTCATAAGCCCAATGAATCGGCTAAATTTAATTTACCTTCAGTGTTTGTTTGGCGTCATTCTCCAAGACTAGTCCAGCTTCAATATATGCATCAATTATGACTTCTAAATAGGCTCAGAAAAAAACAATATTTTGAGGATAATGTATAAATCAAAACCAGGTATAGACACGGATCCATAATTATTTTGATTTATAGAACAAAAAAACAAATTTTGTTATACCAAAAGAAAACCACATGGAACTATTCATATATGGATACGACAGGCACGCAAAAGACGACCCTCGCTGCCAACTTCTTCCACCGGAGCATACAGGACACGGGCTTTGGCCATTGAACCTTTCATGCATTCCTGCAAGATTAAATATATGTTAGCCTTATTAAAAATATCAAAGAAAGCATAAGGTTGAATTTGATGGTATAAGAATGCAAGTTTTATCCCACATACACCACTAGTGTGAATCTTTCATTGACATCCCACTCTAATATAAGTATTGGGATGAAGTGATGAACATCTCACAATGCAATGCAGAAGTTAATGTAACATTTTGTCTCCAAGTTTGAAAATAGAAAACCTTTGAATTGTGAATATATTAGTAGACAAAGTTGTAATAACTAATAGCCACTATAAACTCAAACACACAACTCCGATATCTCGGGTTCGGACCCGGTCATGGTGTCCAGCCTAACAATATTAGGTTTTGACAGTTGAGTAGGATTTTGAGACCGAATATATTATAATTTTAAATGCAACAAAAAAACACTTGGCAGAAATCAACATGTATTTAGTCATTTCATTCCATAAATTTGGTGAATGCAACAGTCCTAAAATGCCTTATTATATCTTGTCAAATGTCAACAAATAACAAGTAGGAATACTTGCGTCCTGTTTTGATCTATTGGAGTTCAAAAATAGATTCTTACCAGTCCCTTTAATCCAATTGACACAGGACGATTATCCAGTGCTTCCATAACTTTTGAGGAAATACTCTGCACAGATATAAACATAACTATGAAGAAAGAATTTAACTTACAAACTCTATTATCATGTTGAATTTAATAAAACTTACCTGCAAGACCTCAGTTGCTGTCTTAACTCTGTCTTTATTCCACAGCTTAAGCATTAGTACTGTAAGGTGAAATGTCTTAGGCTTAATGAATATAGATTTGTCAATCCCCAAGTCTGTAAGAGTGGAAAACAAAAACAGTCATATTTCATATTAAAAAATAGCACATAGAAGAATGAGATTAAAACAGAAGAATTAATATCTATAATCCTTGATGGGTTTCAACATGAAAAGGCAATCTCATAAGCGATGTAAATATGACTAGTTAACGAGTAATATAAGCATGTCTTGGTAATATACATTGATTTCATAAATGATTAGCTAGGATTCTTAGTTTAGGCCCACAAAATGATAAATTATAATGAACAAAAAAATGCAATGAAACACAGACCAACACACACTGAAGAGTATAATGCTGCTGAGTTGATTATACAATGGAGATATCATTTCACAATCTTTTACGCATTTAAAACATTGAAAAACAGATTGTTCCCGTACCAGATGAAGTGGAAGCCTTAGATGCTTTAGGTGCATAACTGACTAGTGGTATGCTAGTACGATTGACTTTAACTGATTTACTGTCATCATCAAGTTTAACTTCAACTGCAACATCAGCAATTTCTTTTGACAGTTGATCCCCTTCTTTGTTATCAGTAGTATCCTCGGCCTCATTGGAGTCAGTGTCAAGATTCTCATCTATGCAAGAATCGTCATTTCCCAAAATAGTGTTTTGAAAATTGATTAGTTTAGAAACTAACTCGGGATGGATGGCCAATGGAAGGGATATGAAGTGGGAATAATCAAGATTTCGACTCCTAACTGTCTGTTATCAAACACAAGAAAATATGTGAACCATAGTTTGTGACCGTAAAGTAATAGCAACTCAAGTCACCACTACCAACATAATACACTATAAAAGAAACAAATTGGAAAAAGGTCGTTTTAGCCATAAGTTTTTTGAGATCGAGAGATTGCGCGGACAGACAACTGACCTCATCAATTATAGCCTGAATCTTCTCTGAAGCTGAAGTCACGCTATCTATTGAAATGCCTTCAATGGCTGCAAAAGAAAATTATACCAGTTAGATGATATGAAACATATCATATCATATCTTGCTCTTATTCTAGAATAACTTAGTCTTTTGTATCAAATCACAGTAAACCATCAAAAGCAATTCAAATTCTTAAGTTTTTTTCTTTTCCCTCCTTTATCTAAAACTCTAAAACTTCAACATTAATCATTTAGATATTAGATTTCGTTATCCACTCTTACGAGTCGTAACAATGTAGACAAGATCTTGCTCCAAATTGTCAATACGAGTCAGCCTAATTTATATGGAAGTTTTGCTTCTCACAGTCAGCCAATATAAGTCAGCCTAATTTATGTTTCTGGTCTATAATTGTTGGAAGTTCCACCTTCATTGCGGTCCGCCCATAGCCGCCGAATTGTGTCATTTGGGTTGTCTTCATTGCAGCCTACAACACTTTAATTGTGTTGGATGTGAAAGGGTCATTTTTGTAAAGTTGAGTTAGACTCAACCACAATTTTAATATGATATCAGAGCCTATCCGAGATTCCTAGATTTTTTTGTTGGGCTTCCTGCATCATCTACGCTTCAACCTCATTTAGGCCCGAGGGTAAGGGGGATGTTGGAAATTCCGCCTTCATTGCAGTCTACCCCTAGCCGCCAACACTTTCATTATGTTGGGTGTGAAGGGGGTGGATTTAGTCCTAATTGTCTAGAAATATGTCAAATCATTTTAATATTTCAATCTATAAAAATAGAAAATAACTATTTCAAAGCTGAATCATTGAAGATAAACAGTAGATTAGGTGAACCCAAAAACTTACTAACAAACTCATCTTCTTTTGAAGAAGGAAATATTATCTTAACCTTCGTTTCCTCTTCTATCTTCTTTTGTGTGCATCCCCTGAAACATCATTAAGTATGAGTGACAAGTATATATTCTAATATCGTAAGAATTAAGAGCTATTTTCTACACACTCTCTTTGTTGATAACAATAGCAACAAGATTTTGTATTATTGTATCCATATGATGTTGACAATGTGAATCTCAAGCCTAAACAAACTACTATTCCTGATAGGCATTACTATTTTTCCTTCTCTGCCTATCTATAACGATTAATATGCATCCCTAATTACAATTCACTGTCACTTTCACCCATGTCGTACTCATCCACCCTTTCAAATGAAATTTCTCTAATTCCAGTTGGCTAAGCCGTATTGTTATCAATGCCAAACAAATTAAAAACTAGTTTTTACCCTTTTCCTTTAATAAAACGAAATAGAGAAGCACCAACCTGCACAACAAACACAAAATAGAGCTGAAGCTGATGTCCGTTCAATGCATAATCAGAAAGAGAGCCAAATACGCATATAGGTTTTATTTAAGGGGAAAAAAAAGGAAGAACTAGATTTCAGAACTGAGGCAGATAGATAGTACAGTCAAAGCTTTCTAAAAATCAACAGGTAATATCATTTATTTCCATCATAAATTATGGAGAAAATGGAAGAAGAATTCAAACGATAAACAATAAAAGCTCCATTATCAGAACCAGAAAGAAGAAAAAAAGAGATAACAATCAGTGGAGAGAGATAGAATGCTTTTCAGTGGAGAGAGATGAAAATATATAATCTTGCCTTTACAGAAATAGAATGCTTTTCAGTGGAGAGAGATGAATCTCCTTCTAGCACTTTATTTTCAACATTACCCTGCAATTGACCGGAACTAGTACCTGATTCTGTATTTTCATCAGCAGCTACCTTCTTCAAGAGATGCTCGTTTGAGATAGCGCTAGATGTCCTACAACCCACTTCTTGAACTCCTTCTACTGACTCAACTAACGCAGCCGTTATTGAGCTTTCTGCAACACACAACACTTTAAGATGTCATCTTCTTGTTAACACCTACCTTTCCATAGCCAAAGATACATTTAAATTTCCATTTGATCTAAGAACGTGGAAAATACATTATACCATAACTAAATACCAGATTACCACCGACCACACGTGTTTAAAATTTTTTCAAAAGAACACCACTAAAGTCATGTCATTGTCATGTAATATAAAAGAAATCGTGTGTATCGTGAACATAAAGGCGAAGCTATTGGCACTACCCAAAAAGACAAACCTTCACTCGAACTAGCATTAGTCGAAATAGGTCTCCAGATAGATTTCATGGTTTTGTGCTTATTGGTATTGTCATCAATACAAACTTTCTGTTTTCTACTACCCATTGTAAAATCACAGCTTAAACCATAATAAGTTCTCTGTCCCTGATGAAAAAAAAAAACAAAAAGTTTTAATTTTTATAACAGATAAATAACTTCAAAACTATAAAACAAACAACCAAATTTTTTACAACTATTACAAAAAAAAAAATAGTGAAATAATGCAATAAAAAGGTGGGAACCTGAAAGTGTGATTTAGGGTTTGATGAAACGCATGTGTTTGTAACTCTGAGAACTCGATCGACTCTGTAAGAAAAGAAAACAAAAGAATATGAGAAATAGTTTATTATGATTTGAGGATATAACAAAACATGTAGGAAAATGAAGAGAATGAAATTGAAATTGAAATTGAAATTGAAATTGAAATTAGGGTGAGGAACCTGAACAGAAACCTGCAACCTATCATTCCCTTTACTACACTCAAATGCAAAGTCAGTTTTGTTAACATTAATTTACTTTTTTATTCATTTTTTCTTCGTCTATATCCAAATGAAAGAATAAAAAAATCAATTAATTTTTGGGTTAAACTCCGTTTTGCCCCTATTCTGGCTAGTTAATAAGTTGTAAATTACAGTAAGTTTCTTATAACATCCAAATAATTTTATTTTATTTTTAAATTAACTTATATTATATAACCTTAAATCCATTTTGGTCTCCTACTTTTATATTTTTTAACTTTTAATTCCTTTATTTTAAAAATTAATTTTTTATTATAAATTTTATATCACTTAGGGTGTGTTTGGTTCGGGGTAGATGGAGGGGAGGGGAGGGGAGGGGAGGGGAAATTTTTAATTAAATATGTTTGGTTCAAATTTTAGGAGGGAAGGGGAGGGGAGGGGAGCAAAATCCCTCCAAAACACACTTTTTGGTTCTCTCCGAATTGGGGGGATTTGGAGGGGAGGGGAGGGAATATGAATTTTGATATTTAAAAATTATTATATTTACTAAAATATCCTCAGTTTAATTTTATTATTTCAAAACTATTTGTTATCTTTTGTGTTACTGTTTTTTCTCGATTGTTTTCATCAACTTATTATAATTGTTCTCCACCTTCAAATTATTTTATAATTTTTATAATTAATATAAATCATAATCATTGTCTTTTTTTTATAAAAAAAATTATGTTTCATTATATTCGTTTTTTTTTTTAATTTTGTTATGTACTCTATCATATTTTCTTTTATATCAAATTGTAAATCATATCATTTTATTTATTTTTGTTTATTCATTTTATTAAATATTTTGAACCATTAATATTTAGTAATAAGTTATTTTATATATTTGTTTTGTTATATGATTCATCATAATTTAAACGATGTTATTGGCATATAGTTTAATTTATGTTGGAAAGTTATAAGCCGAATCGATTGTACTCAATTTTTTAACTTTATGTGACAAATAAATATTTTTTTAATCACTCAATATTAGAAATTTTATTACCAACAAAAATACGCACGAATTTTTCACATTTTAATATCATATGACTTATATAAAATCATAAGGATAAAAATGTAAATTATTAATAAAACCCCTCCCCTCCCCTTCTGAACCAAACACATTTTTAATTAGAATCCCTCCCCTCCCCTCCCCTCCACTCTTTTGAACCAAACACTTATTTGATTAAAAAATTCTTTCACCTTCCCTCCCCTCCCCTCCCCTTCATTAAAATCCCTCCCCTCCCCTCCCCCTCATTTGAACCAAACAGACCCTTAAAGTCTATTTGATTTAACAGAGAGAGAAAAAAAAAGCATTTAATAGAGGAGAGAGAGAGGAGGAGAAGGGACTAGAAGAGAGGAGATGAGAGGATTTTTAACTACCTATATATTTGGTTTATTTGGAAAAAAGAGAGATTTTAAAATTAAATTATTTTTTTATCTTTACAAATATTTTTATTTGTATTTAGTAAAAACAATTCTAAATAAAAATAATTTTGTGGGAATATCATCAAATAAAAACTCTTTCACAGTGAGTTCTCAGTGTTTTAACCCACTGTTCATTGCAATTTTACAAAAGTCCCAATTTTACTAGAGAATGTTATTTCTCTTACGGCATCAAAAGTTCAATTATGATGAAATCAAACTTTATAATACATGATTGAATCAAGGTAAATTAGAGGTCCAGTTTGTAATGTGATCCATATAAACTCATCATTATGTGCAGACAAAAATAACAGTCATATTAAATTTAAAGTTTTGTAAAGTTTATTTTGGAACTTATCAAATAAATTTTATTTGAATATGAAATTTATTTTATAATTACTCTCAGAGCATCAGTGGTATATTCAATGTTCATGGAATAAGAAATTTGTCTGTAATATATAACTATAATCAAAATAATCATAACCTTTAGTTAACAACAACCGAACAATCATAATTTTTAGTGAACGACAACCGATCAATCACCGATTATAGTTATATGTTACAAGTATAAACAACATAAAATTAAAAAGAAAAGTTCAACAAAGCAAAAAGGAAAAATTTGTCTGAGAGCACAAATGTACAAGTAGCATCAACACAAGAGAAGAAAAAAGAAATGTGGAACAATAAAGATAAAAACCTAAACCTAGTTTTTAATAATTTAATAAGGGCAATTTTGGAATTAAAATAAATAATTGAGGATAAATTAGGAAATATAATAAAATTCTAAACAATGAATCTCGCCTCCCCTCCAAATCCCCCAATTTGAAGGGAGCAAAAAGTGAGTATAGGAGGAAATTTGCTCCCCTCATTTCCCCTCTCCTCACCTTATGAAAAATGAACCAAACACATATTTTTATAAATATCCCCTCCCCTCCATCTACCCCCAACCAAACGGACCCTTAGAATTTTGATGATCTCCTCCAATTTTGCATAGGTAGCAATGATGATTGAGACAAAAAAATTGTTTTTTATGAAATTTGTTTTGGCCCGGACCCCCGCTTTACCGGGAAGGCCCAACCCACTTATACTTGGTGAAAGGCCCAATGAGTTCCCCTCATCTGTGTCGAGCACGAGGCTTTCGTCGACCAGGCACTTCCCGTCGGGCAGAAAGACGTGTGCCTCACACGTTCTCCATGTGCTCCCCTCTGTGGGGACACGTCGTCAATCAACTGCCCACCTCCGGAAGAGCAGGTCAACCCACTCTTCGGAGTTCACGGAGCAGTTGAACTAGGGCGAAGACCATGTTCTGGTCTTCACTATGCCACGTAAGCCCTAGCAGTCACTTGGGTTTGGCCTGACCATTCAGCCTAACTTAAATGACTGTTGGCCCTGTGCTGGGGTCTCTCTATAAATATCCTCTTCCACAAGAGGGTCAGGTATTCACTTCTTAACCTATTTTCTGTATTTGTATTCACTCTGTTCAATTCCTTACTTTGGCATCTGAGTGTCTTGCAGGTACATCCCCCCCTTTTTTTCCCCTTCAACACCGGTGAACAGGTAGCAAGTCAAAGACGCGTGGCAGTCCAGTGGTTCCCTTCTGATCAGGTCAGCTCAGTAGCGCCGATTGTGGGGACATAAACTTCTCCGTTCCTCCGAGCAGAGAACCAAAGTTTCATATCGACCCTTCTGAATTATGACTAGCCCGCGCCACGGTGACGTCGTGCACAACTCCTCCGCCGTTCTGCCCACCAAAGGCAACGGTCACATTGGGACATCTCGACCAGGTGAGATCGACGCCAGGGACGCACAAACTGCCTCCCCTTCCCCTGAGGGCATCCCGCACTGCAAAGTTCCTCGAGCACGAAGCCCCGCGGTGTTCCATCATATCCCTACTTCGGTCGGCGCGGACCCGACGATGGTCGCCCTCTTTGCAGCCATCAACCAGACAAATCAGATGTTGTTCCAGCAGAATCAGCGCATCGGCGCGCTCGAACACGAAGCCCCATCCCGCTCCCCTCCGCGGGAAGAGCAGGACGGGAACTCGAGGAGTCCATCACCTCGTCCACGGAATCGCAGGCCACAGCTGGAGAGGCCCTAACCCGCTGTCTCCAAGAAATGAACAAGGTCGCCGACCAGGAAAGGGGAAGAACCCTCAGTTAGGCAACCAAGGGTTCAAACTCAACCTCGTCCGCGACACGGGCCTTCACCTCATCCGTCCCCGATTCTCAGGGACGATGACGACTACCGGACCCCTCTGTCTTGAGAGATATGGCAACTCTCATCCCCCACGGGATGGAAAAGCCACTGGTGCTCTCAACATACGACGACACCTCGGACCGGACAATCACTTGGAGGATATCGAAGCTATGCTCGACTACCGTAACATCCGAGGAGCCATCAAATACAGGATCTTCCCGAAGACCCTACGGAAAGGCGCTATGACATGGTATAAGAGCTTAGAGCCGAAGTCCGTCACGTCGTGGAGGGTCCTAAAGAACCTCTTTTCGCGACATTTCACGGCGTCCAAGCGCCACCCGAAGACCGAAGTCGCGTTAGGCGCGATCATCCAGGCCCCCGACGAACCACTCAGGAACTACATCGAGAGGTTCACGAGAGAAGCAGTGCAAGTAACGACTTCAGACGAGATGAAGTGTTACCTGATGGAGCAAGTCCTACGTCAGGACTCCAAATTCTACGAGGTCGTGGCCATCCATCGGCCAGACTCCCTCCAAGACTTCCTCGACCAGGCTCGCCATTACATCCGGTTCGAGGAAACGTAAGCTGCCAACTCCGTCTGTGACACCAGGGACAGAGAGACCCCCCGCGGGTCCAGAGACGACGGAGCCTCGAGCCACCGACGAGGGGGAGACTGACGACGGGATGACTGCCCCCGAGAACCCCGCGAGTAGCAGGGCCCAGCCGGACGATTCACGGAATACACCGTGATGGTCGCTTCCCGCGTGCGCATACTGGCAGAATGCGCCAAAATGGAGTTTGTCCAGGGCGGGGTCCATTTTCCAAAACCGGCGCCCACTAAAGCCAACGTGGACAAATCGAAATACTGTCGATTCCACCGGAGTCACGGTCATGTAACAGAGGATTGCATACACCTAAAGGACGCGATCGAGATTCTGATCAAGGACGGGAACCTTAAAAGGTACACCCGAGGAGGAGAGCCCCCGCGGCAGGAGGCCCTCGAAGCTAAAAGAGTCGAGGACCTCCCTCCCCCGGAAGGCGAGTCCGGCCTACAGGTGGCCCTCAGCGTCAGCCGACCTCAGGACTCGTTTGTCTTCAGGGAGTTCAGCCCTCCCGCCGAACTCGAACTACCCGAGGAGTCAGTGCGCCCCACCAGCATGTGGGAGTATTTCCCAAGGGCAATGGTCATCTCCGGAGGAAACCCGAGCAAGTTGTCCGTGTGGTCAGTGAAATAGAAATTTGACGAGCTTATCAGCAGCAGCTCCGGCAAGATGAGCACGCTCGACAAATTCTGAGGTCGTTCCAACCTGATCACCTTCTACCTCGAGGAACTCCCTGGGGGAGCCCCAAA